GGCTTTGAGTAGCACTTTGGATATCTTTTCCCAGTGGCCGTTTATAGCGGACATCTTACTGTCCGGCAGGTATTCAAGAGGCTGGCTCTGATTGTTTCGTTCGACTTCTGGGGGGCGAGATGGCTCAAGTGGTAAGAACGCGAATTTACTGACTGGAAGGTCCGTGGTTCGAACCCAACCTCTGCTTCTCGGCTTTTCCTGTCTAACCTGGGCAACCTGGCAGTATTCTAGCTCGCGTGCTTTTTTTTGGATGGCATGGCAGCTAGGCACCAAAAACGTGGTAGAGCTGAACGATCTTTTTCTGGGTCCGCTACCTTCTCAATGGCTGAACGAGGTGTGCGCGTTTTGCATACACCTGGAAAGCGCAGTGAAAAGCAGCGGCGTACATATGCATGGTCGGAGTCCACGCTAGTGTTCCAGGAGGAGCGACAGGCGGTGATCGACCCTCGCCACCGATAACTGATGGCAATGTGGCCTATTTGGATTCAGGGCTGGTTTGTCGGTGGGTACCAGGTTGTCAAGCGATTCCCTCTGTTCCTAAACAGTCTCACACTGGGATCTTATTGGTCACCTGCTACAATTGTTCATAGAACTCCTTTGGAACTGGGTCCGATACAGACATTTGAGGTTAAGATCTATTATAGTCCAGCTCACGGGGGTTCCTTTGAACCACCTCAAGACGTGCGGGCAACACACTTCAGGATACCCGATAGAAGTATCAGCACGGCTAATATCCCAGATATCGACCGCTATGAAACGCCTGATCGAGGGACCTGGATCCGTTAAGTGGCCAGGTTTCCGAAAGGTAGATGAAATCTGACCAACGGTGAATGCAAATGCTCTGGCTGGAAGCGTCAATTAGGGTGCGAACATTCCTACAGCTAATGAACTTTCTTTCTATCAGCGACAACCCTGGCTTGTGTTTCAGTTACCCAGTCGTCGGACCAGAAAACGTATGTCGCCTATCGGAAATATTGTAGCATGGGTGAGGTTGCATGTTAGAGGTTTCTCTGGAGATTTGCTAAGAGTTGCGTCCCCGGTGCGAGAGTATGCGCCTTTCAACTTTGCACAACCAAATACAACCTGCAGGGCAACAAAAAACAGGTGGAGTATCGGCAATGGCCTTTAGATTCAGAGAGTGATCCCATCCACCCACTCCGCCGGAGCCAGTTTGCGTTTTCGCCGTTGTTGGTATAGAATCAGCGTCTGCCAGCTCCCGTAGACAGACAACCAATGGACCCTTATGTTGCCTCAGTCGTTTTCACCTGTGTGCCTTGGTAAAAATATCTCCGCTACCAGAGGGTAGTGCATAGAGCTTTCTCCATGGGGACTACATTTCAGCGTCACATATGGGGGCATTGCCCTGGGGCGCAAAGCATGACAGTGCTGGCTTCCGAAAGCATCCACGCCCAACCACATTGGGGAATTAACAGGTGGACAGAACCGTAGTCGCGGTGAGAGATCTGCAGAGGTAAGCGCTACTTGTGCTATGGAGGAGCTTTCGGCGGAACACGACAATACCCAGCCGATCGGTAAATCGAAAAGCGGAGGCGATAACTAGTAGCTCTGCCAAACACCGTCCGCTCCTCCCTCTTCATCTTCAAAGGCATTAGCATTGACAGCAACATTACCTGAGATCACTGGTGCTCAACTACCGTACAACCATGTCGATTTTTCGTAAAACCTTATAGTGGAAAAAACAAAGAAAATGGGGCACGGAGGAAGTCTATGGCTACCTACCTCCAGCAATCGACCAATCTGGATAGCTAATATCGGTAGGAATGCCAATGATATCGGTTACCTGCCAGTTCTTTAGTGTCTTCAGCCAAGCACAGGGAGGGCTACGTAAACCCCATGTGGGAAGCAATGCCAACGGCACCCATACTTTCCGTAAAATCCTTCGTTCTCCTGTCTTCATATTTTGTTCAGTTCTAAGTTCCCGCCTAACGGAAAACAGCGCTCTTATTGGCGGGCAGCAACTCGGTGTGCAAACAAAATGGATCATCCAGGCTTAGCTTGTGGTGCTGGGTGTATTCTTCAAGTGATTATAGCTGCACATTTGAAATATCGTCCATCAGAATCCGAAAAAAGGTGTATCACTGTTCTGGGAACTTAAAGAGTAGTGCTACACCTTTTTTCACTCGTGCCTTTCATGCGAACGGCAGCCGCCAAACGACAAGAACAAGAGTGACCCGGGGAACTTGGGTGAAAGCCTCGATCGTGTGTATCAATCCGTCAGGATGTCTCCTGCTCGATATGGCCAGGTCTGAGAGTCGTAATTTGATATGGGCGCCCTTGGAGGCCTTTCTGACGCCAGAAATAGAGCACATAGGAACTGTAATTGTCTTTGAGATTCACGCATTCATTTCGTCCGTAACACTATCGTCAGAACTGATGCAACTTCCGTGACCCATATAGCGTCCCACAAATTCAGGGTTGTGACATTGGATCCAATGTCACTCATTGGATTCTTGGGGGCCATTTGTTCAAAGACTATGTCCTGCAGCATATATACTATGTACTTTGTTGGCAGAAAGCACATACTGAAGGACTGAATGACCTTGGCCAGCTTTTATAATAATGCTTGCCTCCTGCACTGTCGGAAAAATGAGAACTATTAAGTCTGTATATTCCAGGCAAAACAAGGTCCTCTCTCGAAGGGGTCTGAATACCGAGATTTTGGAGACTACACAATATTCGCCTTATTACTTCACCAATGTTGAAAGTGCGTAAAAGTAGAGAGATGGCATACATATTGGATAGCACTGCCCATAAGGCTTTTCGGGAGTTCCCGTGCACTTACGCGCTCACCCTCTCTTCCCTAAATACCTTTATGTATAACTTTGATCCGACTGGTAGACTCCGTCTACAATCTGGCGTTTACCAGACAAACCAGCAACTTTCGTCGTTTATGTGGAACGGTCCGCACGAACGTCCACGACCAGCACTGAAGTGGCCAATAAGAGCAAGCCGCATGTGATTGGTCAGAACACGGGCCTCTGGACTTCCACTCTCCAATGATGAAAAATAAGGGGACATAAGCCAGTCGCTAGGAGCAAACAACAGTCCATTTCCATGAAACTGTGGGTTTCTGGAATAGAGAACTGCACAGGTAATTGGGGTTTTTTAACTGCGTGTTTCATGGGTTCACGGATTCATGGGCCGATACATAAGATCGAAGCATTTGCCCAAGATTCCCGGGTCGATTTCGTTCTGGTCGTTCAGTGGCTGTCGTTAACCTGAATGGCACAAGTGAGAAAAGGTGTAGCAGCTACTTATGTTCTCAGTGTGGGGCAATGAGGACTTACATAAATAAGTGTCTATTAAGGCTTTGAGCTGTGTTCTAGAAGCGTGGACAAACGTCGGAGGGTTATTCCAAGCGGCTACTATCCAAAATGAGAAAAAAATTTTGCCTGATGAATGTGTGCGCTCTGAGCTTGAAAATCCTCTTAGCATGTTCCCACCGTGTGTTTGCTGGGTCAACGGTGAAAACCTGTTTGCCAAGCTTTGTTCAAACAGGGCAAAAGTAAGAATTAGGTCTCGTCCCAGGCGACGATACTCCTGGGGAAAGAGGTCAAACACCGCGGGACGCGTTTTTTAGTCCACGGATTGAAGGCCGGCAGCCATTTTCGTAGCGGCTTTGTTGACACGCTCAACGAGGGCGGCGTCTTTCGTGCATTCCGAGTACACAACTTGATTGACGTATTCAAGGGGCGGTCTGACGCAGGCCCCATGGAATATTCGGAAGTTCATGCGACCAATACGGGAGAAGGTGCGTCGAATCATCCGTTTGGCCGGGTTCACATGAT